TTATTTAGGCCACCTGTGGCCCAAATAAGGTAAAGGAGGGGGGTTTAGCTTATTTAGGCCATGTGTGGCCTAAATAAGGTCACCCTTATTAGTAATAGACCGCCAGCGCGACGCCAGAGAATAGCTTCTGACCTATAGGCCGACGCGACACCAGAGAATAACCACTAATAAAAACATAAAGAGGCAAGAAATTTCACCATACAAACTGCCTACCTGTCTGGAGTTTGGTCTACCTGCAAGTTCCAGTTGTTGTTTTGTTGGCTTTTTTTTTTTTTATGTGTTAAATTCACTCGAGAACAGCAGGGGAAAAGCAAGATGGACATTTTTTTGTCTTAGCAAGAGATTTACTGCACTTGCAACGTAAACAGATCATATAGATGATGCCAAAGACTAAAAGGTGATACTAGTGAGTAACATACAAAGAAAAGAGGAGAGATAAAGATGATAGTATAGATATTTGACAGGAAAGAGGGAGCTTACCACACAAGAGAGCCCTCCAACCACTCATTCAACCACCTCAACTTTCAGACCAACTGAAAAGACAACAAGTAAACAAACAGTTGAACTGGTGGGACAACCATCAGTCCGCAGGCCCTAATCAGTCCCGGTGGGTGGTTGATGAGTGCTCTGCTGTGGTATGCTCCTTTCCTATCAAACATCTGTCGCCCTTATCTCTCCTCCAGTTCAGTTTAAGAGTTTTTCCGCACTTGAAAAGCAATAAGGTCATATAAGTGCCGAAGATTAGAGGTGTTATAAAAGTGAATAACAAACACAAAAAAGGAGGAGGAGAGATAAAGACGATAAACGTTTGATAGGAAAGAAGGAACAAACCACATCAGAGCAATCGCCAACGACCTCCTTCTTTTTTCCGACTGTTTGTTATACTCTTGTAACACCTATAGTCTTTGGCCCTCATATGACCTTATTGTGTTGCAAGCACCGTAAAACTTTCACAAAAAACCTAATTCAAATCAACCCAACAAACAAACAAACAAGTAAATTAAACAGCTAACCTGTCTAGAGGGTCGTCCTGCCTCTGGCTGTGCCCCGTCCACTTCGCTGATGTAACAAGACACCCCCCGGTCGGTCAAGGCAGGTAACAGAACCAGCTGCACAAACCGGCGCCATACTGGGTCCTGGGACATGGAAAAGACAGCAGATTCAGGATCAACTACTTTGTGTTTATGTTTGTTTGTTTCAGTAAAGAGAAGCACATCGACACAATAATTGTCATTTAGTGCTGGGAAAAGGTAAGACAGACAGACACTACAGAGGGAAAGTAAAGAAGCAGGACCTACCAGTGGCGCCCCCCAACTCCAACCACCTGCACTTTTTATTATAAAAGTTTTAGTTTTTATTTTGGTAAAAGAGTTTAACAGCCTTACAGCATTCAAATAAATCATGTATATACATACATACATATATATATTTAGTGTTTTAGTGTTATTAAAGACTAGAGAGTAACATACACGTACATACAAAGAAAAGAAAAAGAAGATATATATGTACGGATGATAGATATGTTTGGTAGGAAAGAAACCTATCGGGTGTTGTTTTTGGTTTTAAGATTGAGCAAAGGTATTTTTTTTAAATATAGATATTTTGTCCACAGGTTCGAAGTTTTAGAGGGAGAAAGAGAGAAGGTTTTGATACTTCTTTGGTATTTTTAAAAAGATTGAGCAAAGCTTTAAAAAAAAATTAAGAGATATTTTGTCCACAGGTTTACTTATAGTTTTGAGATTCTTTAATTAGCAGTTTCAATTAGTGTCTATTGTATAATAGGTCCCTTTAACACAGATTTAAGTTATGTATACAATCCAACCTGCTCTAACGGCCACCTGTATAGACTATCACCTGTACAAACAGCTACACTTTCCATTTCTTCTCTTGTATATCTTTTAATATTATAAATGACATTGTGTAAGACAGCCACCTGTCTATGACTGCAATTTTTCTCCTCAACAATGGGTGGCTGTCTTAGACAGTTTCAACTGTATTACATTACATTCTCAACCTTACACTTGAAAATTTAAAGCAAGCAGTACGATAACTGCAAAACATGCAAGGTGTGATCTTGAGGATACACATACTCTGAAAAAATAAATTATAATTTTCTGTCAGATGAAATTTTATTTGTTGACGCCTTTGACAACAGCACATCCTCTGAGATTGTTCAAAATCTAAGGGTAAAGTAATGTTTTGTTAGTGTGTAATTGTGCATCTGTCAACTAAATTTCGATCGTTTGGGAGGCATGCTACTTCAATTCTCCTGTTGGGGCCAACCCGGGCTGAAAGAGATACAGAATCCCTGCAGACAGACAGAGATACAGTTCGATAAAAATACATCATGTGTATGTACTTCCCACTCTGAAATCACATCATCTATTACAACAGCCAAGAGCCTCAACATTACAGCCCAGAGAAAGAGACACAAAAAAAAAGTACACACAAAGAGAGAGAAACACACACAAAGAGAGAGAAAGAGACAGACAGACAGAGAGACATAGAGAAAAGAGGGAGACGAGAAAGAGAGAGAGAGAATGGGGAGGGGAGATAGAGAGAGAAAGGGGGGGGGTGGAAAGAAGTAGAATTGGGACGAGCCCCTTGTGTGCTAAAACTAGCAATTAAATATAATACATGATGAACTGGTACAGTGCACCACAAAGGCCTGTTGAAAACCATACTATGTTGCCAAAATGCAAAATAACTATAATAAGTCCTGTTACATTGTATTACCATAGTTATCCAAGATGTCACTCACCTGGTCATCATATACAAGAAAGACGTCCTTGATGCCATGATGCTCCGGGTCATCGAAGTTGCAATAGTAGCGGGACTTGGAAATGTACAGGTAGAAGTAGAGCCGGTAGCGATAGAAATATACGATCCCATAGCTGATCCATACAATGAGCACCAGGCAGAAGAGAACTAAAGTAAAAAAAAAAAATTCCCAGCCATAGCAATACCTCCAAAGTGTCCAGTAGAACTTGTCTATATCATCTAAGTAAATTGATGATCCATTGATTTCATACCTGCATTGATATTTCCCATGTCCGGTGAAGACTGTGAATCTCCTTTTGTACCAAAAAAGAAACTGTAAAGAAGTGCAATCACACTGTATTGGATTCTCACTGAGGTCCACAAACAAGAGCGATGTTTCCAATATCTCATCAATGTCCCTCATGTTTTGGTACGAAAGAGATCGCAGATCATTCTTGCTAAGATCCAAAAGTGACAAATTTGCTAAGTGGTTTATCGAAGGTTCAAACAAATGTAAAGCATTGTCTTTCAGTATAGCTGTTTGGAGAAAAGAGTTGCTGGTAAACAAAGTGTGGCTCAGCGAGTGGATGTCATTGTTAGACAGATCAAGGTACTCAAGCTGGGTGAGGTTTGCAAAAGTGCGTCCACTCCAGTCCTGCTCCAAAGAAAATCCAACACCATTGTAAGCCATGTGAAGTATCTTCAACGCTGGCATATCATTGAAGAAGTAAGGACTGAGGGCAATACAATAATTGTTAGATAGATCTATCTCTTCTAAAACATGAAAGCCAGCAAAAGGCCCTTCCATACAGTAAAGGTAGTTGCTCGATAAATCCAATACCTTAAGAACATTGGTAAGAATTTTGAGAGGAGGCACTGCATAACCAAGTTTCAGTTCTTTTCCATACAACTCCCGTAACTTTCTCGGGAAGGGGATGTGTGGTGAAAACGTCTTCTCAAATTTGATATGGCTAGATGAGCATTCAGACTGGCTGCTGTTCTCTGAGAGGCACAAATCCGCTTGCGGCAATTCTCTGTACAGTCTTCGATGACGATATTGATAATTTGATGGGAAATTTGTCCTGTACGAGGGACAAAACTGTTTTTGAAGTAATACAATCTCTTCTACAGTGGCAGATTTCTGGTATTTTCCTTCACTTGTTTCGTCATGGTTAAGAATATCCGTGACCTCAAGTTGTTTAAACATTGTTCTGTTCCCACTGAGAATCTCTGAGATACTCTCTTCTTCTGATTGCTCACTGTCTGAAAACCGGGGTACTTCCTCCAAGCTGTATTTGTTCTGGGTATTAATGTTAAAAACCTCCAAATTTTTCATAAAAAATAGACTTTCAAGAAAATCAGCAACAATAATCTTATTTTTAGCCAAAGAAAAAGTCTTAATTGATTTTGGAAAAAGAACAGGAACTCGGGTGTCCACTTGTAAAATAACATTGTGATCAATTATTAGAGTTTCAATACTTGTGTTCCTCAGATGAATAAAGTAATCAGGCACCAGGGTGACAAAGCTTACTCTGTGAATATATGTAAGATCGAGAGTCTTAATTTGAGTTTTCCACAAACTTTGGGATGCTATCTTGAACTGATCAAATTGAAGGTTTCCTGTGCCTCTAAAGCTGAGATAAGAGAGCGAGGGCAGATAAGAGAAAGCCTCTGGGTGAACACTCACTATTTTGCACGCTGTGAAAGACACCTGCAGAGGTTCCTTCGACGTGATATTTGAGAAAAATAATTCTGGTATTCTGTCCAAATAGCAAATACACCCTTCATTTCCAAAGTCAAGAACCTGCAGTCTGGTTAACTTTTGAAATCCAACACCCATTATATATTGGCTCTTCAATCCATCAATTCTTAGGACCTCCAGTGAGACAAGTTTAGACAAGGCTTGATCTGGATAGTCACATTTAACATTCCGACATTCAATACTTCCTTGAAGTGCAACTGACGAATCAAAAGAAGTTCTGTCATTAAAAAATGTAGTCCGTGTAGAATGACTCCCCACTGTATCAAATTCACTTCTGGGTGGGAAATATAAATTTCTTTTTAGGTTCAAATTTATCAGGTTAGAGAGGTCCTCAAATACTTGCTCTGGGAAAATGTGATTGGACAGAGTCAGCGAATTGTTACTGAGGTCTAATGAAAGCAATGAAAAGAGTCCTTTAAAAGCATTTGGCTCCAGAGTAGATATGCTATTAAAAGACAGATCCAACACTTCCAATGTTGATATGGAAGCAAAAGAATCATTGCTTATTCGGGACAAGTTGTTATGATGAAGATGCAGTTCCTTCAGATTTCTGAGGCTATCCACAAATGATTCACCTCCACTAAACAAAGACCTGATAACATTATGAGAAATGTTAAGTACAGAAAGACTTGAAACCTTCTCGAAGTCACAGACCCTCAGTGACGACAAATTATTGTGGGATAGGTCAAGAAATGTCAGCGTTTCAGGCAAATCCTTTGGGATAGAAGTCCATCCTTTATTAGAACAGTCTGCAGTAACAAGAAATCCTATGGAATTGCTGAAGCAAGAACAATTGCCAAAACAAGGGATCTCTATTTGAGATATTCTTATCCCTTTGGGTGAAGCTGCAGATAGTGTCTTGACAGCCAGCAGAAAAAAAACTATGGAGGTTGAGAAGGCACTGTACAAGGTCCGAAGCATCTTGTCTCATCTCTCTCAGTCCTCCTGGAACACAAAAAAAAAGTTATTAGCAGAAAATCGTATATCTTGAATTCCAGGCTCAAAATGTCAAAGTATGCGATAGTCCAATCCCAGCATCAGTCTTTGTTGTTCTGACTCTGGAATATATGTGAGGCATTGTGGTCAAAATAATGAAATCAAAGAAATCGGCATTTTTTTGGCCGATGGGCAATTTTTTTCTAATTTTCTTTGTTGGCTCAACACCTTTTAGGTCAATTTAAAAACAGAATTTTGTGTGGATTTTACTGAAAAGCACTGATTAAAGGAACCAAAAAAAAGTACATTTTCAGTTTCCAAGGACACTCAGGCTATGGAAGTTAGCAAACGTTGGCGGCCATTTTCTCGCTAATTTTACCTCTGAAACCAGGCAACCCGTAAGTCCTTCAATCACGAATATTTCAACTTCTACGAAGATGGATATTTTTTCACTTAAAGGAAGGCAAATGATTAGGCTTTAAGATGAAACCGATAATCCACAATGCCCAAAAATGGAAGAGCACCTGGTTCCATCACGTCGTGACACATGTGTCTGTCTGTTAGTCTGATTTGTTGGCTCGTTTGTCTTTTGAGCAGTATGTATTTTAAAATATGACCTGTCTATCCGTCTGTCTCTTCAAAATAGAAATACTTTAAAAAATCAATACTAATCTTTGGTTCAAATCAAAGCGCCATTTATGAAGATCATGAAGTATAAGGACAATAAAGTTTTATCTTTTAACTTATCTTACAAAAAATAAAATGGAATAAGGACAATGGCAATCAGAAATAATTTAGGTAATAGAGAGAGAATTGGAATTCATCAGCCCTGATAGAGTAACATAGAAATCACACTACAAGGATCAGATCATTGTTGGATCGATGCATGCTAGTAGCTTTGTATGTTTACAAGCATCCTCTCCTCTAATTTTATTTTTAAATTTTAA